GTTTCCTGGAGGAAGTTATCATTCGTGAGTTCGTTTCTCGACAGCGACCTGCAGTTGTGACGCACATCGTGTGGCCCATTCCATCTCAGCAACGGTATCCGTTGATCGGCCTAGATTCTTAGGCATTGCCACTTCAAGTGGTTACTGACTGGCTGCCGTAGATTGGACGGAAAGGCGCACAGATTACTAGGCCTGGACACTTTTAACTTCGTTTTATGTTTTTTCCTAAGAGGAATAGCATATGCGTCTTCTACGTAGCTGTACGATTTCTGCTTCATCGTAATTCGTTATTCAAACTTGCGGTAATAGTACCCAAATTTAGCCGTGTTTATTACGGACAGGTGACTTCTCGGTTCATTTGGAGCTAAGGAAGTTTTGCCCTCTACCTGGACAAGTAATTCCTTAGAAGCTTAAAAAGATGTCACTTTCTCGCTTTTTTAAATATTTTAGTATATTCACTTGAGTAAAATGAATATTTAGAATTACCTTTTGTGTATGGAAATTGATTATTAAAGTGAGTTCTGCCTGAATAAAGTGCAGCTATTTGGAATGTACTGCTTTTACTAAAGATTTTTCAGAGCGAGTTTAAAAGAAAAGCCTTCAATACATAGGAACTATTACGTAATGGCACCACTTGAAAAAGGCGTTTACGCACGGGCGCGAATTTGTAGAATTGAAAAGGTGATTTATTTTAAGTTTAAACATGAAAAACGGGATATTTAAAACTTAGGGAGCATCCTTTTAAAATTTCATTTTCTGCTAATTCCTCAGGACGAATTTTTGAACTCAAGAAAAAATTTAATAATTCAACCAAATTTAATAAAGATTAAGTTCAATTTTAGATGGCTTAATTGAATTATTTGGTAATTCAATTTAGTAAAAACGCTTTCGGCGAAATTACTGTTTCTTTATTCTTTTTCGCGTCTACGCAATGCAAAAGTGCATGATGTTGAGGGGTTGTCTGTGTGTATATGTGTGTTTGTGTCTGTATGTGCGTCTGTACCGAGTTTTCATCTCGAGACCTACAAAAGCTACGGGACTGAAACATTGAGAAGTTAATCTACACACACGTACAGGCCCTTACCTCCAGAATAGGCGCTCTTTTCCACGTGGTTCCCAGGTGCGGGCCCATAAAAATTTTCGGCAGTTAAGTTGCTAAC